ATTTTGGGAGAGGAAAGATGAAGAGGCTTTAAATTTCTGTGTCCTTAAGAATTATTTGGATTAAATGACCCTAAATCTGGGTCTTCATTGAGTATCTAAATATAAAGGGTATTGATAGGAATTAAAATCAGTCTCCATTTGCAACATGTAAATCCTATGAGTTTGGCTTTGGCCTATCTCATACTTTTATCAGAGATCGTGATTTGAGCTTTCTTTTTATCTTCAGACAGAATTGGCTGAGTTTGAAGAGCTATTGCAGCTGTGTTGGACACTGGTGGAAATTCCTAAGTATGACTCAGATGACAAATTATATTTGATAGAGAGTCTAGTGGGATTTGCAGAGTGGAGCTTCAATCCTGAGAATGATTAAGTTATCTGAAGACTCACAGGGAACTCCTGAACTCCTACAAATCGTTGTATCCCAGCCTCTGTGTCACCCTTGTAGCAAAAATTGTAAAGTAATCACACTGTTCAGGGATGAGTCATTGCATTAGGTAATGAGTTGAGTTTTTAATTTTCTATGAATTTTCAAATATAATCACAATAATGATGATGGCAAATAAAACCATCACTGAAATATAAGTGTATAAAGACTTCATTCAAGAGAAGATGCTTAAAATAATTCAGAAAGCTTCACAATTCAAACAGGGGCTGGCCAGTAGTGTCCCTTTCAATGATTAGTAATCTATTAAATAAATAAGATTTCAGGTGACAGGCTTATATCCCCATAGGAGGAAGCTAATAGATATTTACTTACTTATATAAAGAAAAATTATTATAACAAATACAAAATTACCTTACATATAGTTTCCAGGAAATTTTACCTGCTCAAATTTTGGTCAGCCTTCAAAAGTATATAAATATTTTAATCCTAGCACATTGGGAGGCTGAAGCAGAAGGATCACTAGAGGCCAGGAGTTTGAGACCAGCCTGGGCAATACAGCAAGCCCTCATCTCTAAATTTTTAAATTAGCCAGGCATGGTGGCATGTACCTGTAGTTCCAGCTATGTGGGAGGCTGAGGCAAGTGGATTGCTTGAGCTCTAGGAGTTTGAGGTTGTAATGAGCTATAATGATAACACTGCACTCTAGCCTGGGCAACAGAGAGAGATCATGTCTCTACTTACATAATAATAATAATAAAACTGTATACATATTGTGTATTTAGCTATATATGTATGTAAACACATTTACACATATAAACACACAAAAACACATGTGTGGATTCTTTTGCATGTCCTAAGATTTTACTCTATAATTAAGTGTAGGTCAGTGAATTTTACTTAAATTTATTTAAAATTTACTTATATACAATACTGAAAATGGCTCAAAGATTAAAAGACAAAAATCAAAAGAATAGCAACTTTTTTTAAATTGGCCATTAACTCTACAACTTTATCATTTCCCTTCATCCATTCACAATGCCTCAGTAGAAAAAATACAAAATTAAGTTTTCACCAAATTCTTAAATTGCATAAAAATATTTTCCCCACAAGTCTGAGTGGGGGCAAACATGATAAAAATATTTGGAAAGTGTGCTATTTAATTCCAATTTCAATGAGTAATTTTGAGAGTTACGTAACCTCTTTGAACTTTCTGCTCAATCTTGGGGTAATTTGCAGATGTAAAATACAAAGGAAGAAATTCAGAGCCTCATGTTTAACTGCAAATAATATATTATAAAAAGAATAGATATGAATAAAGATATTTAGTGTTTTCTAAATTGACAATATTGCTGCACACTTTATTTTACTAAATGTCATGGAAATATGAGTCTTGTACGAAAGTGAAATTTCTAAGCTAAAAAGAAGTGGTTATCAATATAGTTCTATAGGAACAAAAATAAGACAATAATGAACTCTATCTTGGAGACTAAGAGAAAATTAAAAAGAACAAGTTCTTGAAGAATTGTTCATAGTGATCAAATACTTAACTATCATGTCCTACCACCAATGTCATTGCCCCAATCTTGGAAATATCTATGGTTAGATATGCTAAATTCCCTCAACTACAACATGACTTTTTCAACCATATTTCTGGCTTTACTATGCACATACTAGTACTTGCTCAAATTCTTTAAGAGAGAACAACTCTTCAAATGTGGTTATACCCATGTAAACTGAGTGGACTGAGGTCCACCTCCCTAGAAATAACAAATTGTATTTTACAGTTTTATTGGTAATTATCCCACTTGAGGCTACAATTATGCTATGGATTTAATATATTTTTAAGTATTACCATGGGTACATTTTAAAAGGCCTTACAGTGGTTTGAAATATTTCTTAAAATGTCCACAAAAATAAAGCATATCTTGGCTTAAAAAAGAAAATCACCCATAAAGCTGTACAATAAGGGGAGGGAGGGAAGAAGAGAGAGAGATTGAAACACTTCTGTTCCATGTGGTTTTTATGATGCAGATAACTGATTTTCTTATTGCTCTTGTAGAAAGCACTGCTGGCATTCACTGGCCTACTGAGTTCATCACAGCTGTGCTTATGCTTCTTTCCCAAGCCCCACTTTCCACTCAACTGAAAAAGATTTTAACTTTTGGTTGATAGTCTGACACACCCTTGCTTTGCCTCATTTTCCAGCCATTCTCTTTGCTAAAGGAGAGCCGGATTAATCAGTGCTTTAGTTGATGCCGGTATTTAGATTTGTGTTAAAGCTCCAAATGCAATCCAAAAAGTAAAAGCACATATTTATGTGTCCTGTTTAATATCAGTGAAGTCAGGGAGGTATGGGAAGAAATGTGTGTCTAGATTGGGAGAACATCAGTTCCTGGCCTGCACAAGAGGATTCACCAGTATTTCACCCAGTTGTGACACCAGCTCAGATCCACACCCATCTACACACCATATTAAGAAACATTTTGTAAAGAAGGGAAAAGTAGGATCTGGGACACAGGATTGAAAAGATTCTGGTGCAAAACCTCCAAATATGTTTGAGGTAGTGAAGAATGATAAATCAGATAATCTAGAGAATGAGTTCTCCAGGTTTCTCCTGAAGGCCTTAAATTACAGCAGTGTTTCCATATGCAAAATATCAGCTAACTTTTATAAGTGCGTGCATCAATCATGAATTTTTCTCATGAGAATAAGGCTTTTATTTGAATGGCTAACAAATTAGGAGTTTTAGCACAATAGTAATTTTATATGTAATGTCTGAAATAAAGCATAAAAAGTATTTTAAAAATAACATTTCTAATTTTTCACAATGGAAATTAACTCTAAGAAATTCAGCAAATCCCAACCTTTGTTGACCATCTAAAATAATAAAAGATATTTAATAGAGATAAATGAATTTTTATGTGGGTGACAAAGACACGATGAAAACACTAATCATGTTTCTGAATTGATTTGAACACAAGGGAATGTTTTTAAGTACAATTTGAGATAAATGGAAAATAGAAATACGCATAGAACAGTATTTCTACAACATCTCTACTATGATCCAGTAGAAAAACTGATATTCATGACTGTTCTCAAAAATTATTTTTTTTCCCTCAAGCGGTGACTCTCCAATCTGAAATCAAAAGATGCAAAAGAGATTAGTCTTGTTCTATTTCTCTTTTCCTGCCATCAGATGATGTCACCTACATTGGAACATCTTGGTCTTTGCTCCTTGTGACTAGGGATGTAAGGAGCTGAATGTGCCAGTGTTCATGCTTGGAGAATTCATGTTTAGCTGGGAATATACATATAACATGAATTGAGTAAAAATTAGGTAGCATGAATTGGAAGAAAGCGAAAGATGAAAACAGGTTTAAAGGAAATGATTTCTTTAAGTAGTAAAGTTCTGAGTTGGATCATAAAGAAGTGACTTCCATAAATTGGTGTGAGATGGGGAGAAACTTAAGTATCCATGCATAGAGATGGGCATGGTTAAGCTAACATGAAAAAATATATGCAGGTGACCTTGATTAGAATTTAAATGCCCAGTGTAGATTATGCTGATGAATGAAGAAATTATAGACTGATGATTAAGGTGTAAAGAAATATCTTGATTGCTAGAAATAGCTTGATATTGTAGATAAGCATATGTGTCCTACAGAGATTTATTAAAGACCTATCAATGGCATTTGCCCCTCTTTCAAATATGATCCAAAAATTACTGTTTAGGTAGATCCAGAAACATATTGGGAAGTTATATTGATGAGGACCTGGAAAGTATACATGTGAAAGTCCAAATTTATAAATATTTATACTAATCTTTATAGCAGTCCAGATAAAATATGATTTTTCTTGGTCCTCTTTTGCTATTCCACATGATAAACTCTTTCTCTTCTAGTTTTCTAAAAAGATAAGACATGAAAAGACTGGATTTTTCTGTAGAAAAATCTGTTCTGGCTTTCCTAAACAGCATAAAAATTGGAAAAGCTCACAAGAAAGCATTCTGGCTTGCTAAAGAAATTTGGGAGCAATGGAAACAACTATAGATCAGTATCTAACTTTTAGGATGCCATTCAAACATAGTTCAAACACTTAGTCTTTTGACATTTGCCTGAAATTTAACTTCCAGGACTTAGGGTGGGTGAATGAGTGGAAGGGACAGACAGAGGCTTTTCTTTCAGTTAGTCTCTTACAGTTCCCTATTTAAATTGAATTAGGGTGGATTCTGGCAAAAATCCCAATATAAAAATCCTCTAGGAAGATGAGGTTTGCAAATTATCCATGCCCAAGAAATGGGCATCAAGACATTTTTTCAAAATTAGTTATGCAGTTGTTAACTTTATAATGGGAAATTTAAAAATGCATACATTTAATTTTTATATACTAAAACACAATGCAGAGAATTTCTATATATGTTCTTAAGTTATGCAAACATATTTAAGACTAAAATATGTAACTAACTTATACCTAAGCAGATGCACACGAGCTCCAGATGTGCTATTTTTCTTATTTTGTGGGTTGTGTCTTCTATAAGGGAAAAAGAAATATTAATCATTTCTTTTACTGCCGAGGGGATGGGTGCTGCTCTCATATTTCAGAAAGGGGCTGGAAAGTGAGGGAAGCCAAACTTTTTCCTATTTAAGGCCAAAGCAAAGGAATCTCAGTGGCTGAGTTTTATGACGGGCCCGGTGCTGAAGGGCAGGGAACAACTGATGGTGCTACTTTGAACTGCTTTTCTTTTCTCCTTTTTGCACAAAGAGTCTCATGTCTGATATTTAGACATGATGAGCTTTGTGCAAAAGGGGACCTGGTTTCTTCTTACTCTGCTTCACTCCACTGTTATTTTGGCACAACAGACCCAGGAAGGTGAGTGGTACTGATTTCAAGAAACTTTACAGAGTTTTTTGTCTTTTCTTCTCACAAAGAGGTGTAAAGGGGAAAATCAGCAGCCTAAAAGCTAATTTCCTCTATAAGCTTCCAGTTCTAAAATGTTGAACTGACCGTGATTGTGCTTTTTACGTTTGTTGAAAAAAAATGGGTGTCATGTGTGTATTTAAAAGTTCTGTGGTTCTTTGAGATAAAGATGTTCTTGTTCTAACTTGTTTTCATGTTAAAGGCACTGGAAACTTTTAAATAAGACTTTGAAAAGTTTCCCTCCTGAATTGTTAACATCTTGGAATGCTTCCCTAGGCAGTCTGGAAGTTATTGGTCTCTTGTGATAATTTTATGTTCTTTGTCTGCTGGATTCTTTGTAAGGATAGAATAGTGATCATTGTTTTCACAATAAAATAATGCATTTAAAATAGCATGCATTAAGAATATCCTAAAGGAGGATACTATGCATTATGAGAATCATTGAATATATTTCTGTAAACGGGCAAAAAGATAATATGTATTAACACTCTTTAAAGTATTCAAACTGCTAAAAATATTTCATCATTCCTGTTTTTACAGTTTCAAGCACTTACATGGTTGCTTAATCCAAATTTTGTAATAGTTTGTTGTTAAGGGTCTAGTATTTTCTAAATATTCTACATTTTAACTGTACTTGGATTAATGAAGAGAATGCTTTTAAAAGGGTTTCAACAGTAATGTTTTGACTTTTCTGCAAAAAGAGGTAAAGATACTAGTACTGTTTGATTTCTAAAAGCTGATTTGCTATATTTTCTAATAAGTGCTATATTTTCTAATAAGTGCATTTCATGTTCTAATTTCCCCCAAAACACATTTATCTCATTATGTATGCAAAAATATTTATTTTAATTCATGTGTTTCTCATAGTCATGAAAATACCGGACAAAGTGAAGTACAAAGTTTCATAGAAATAAATATTTACTTGATAAATGTGAAGATAGCAAGATGAAATTATTAGATAACCATTTCTATTTGTACATCATTAAACATTATTAAATGTTTACATTTAAGCCTATGGTATTTGCAATATGTTTTTTGTTGGTAAAATCAAATATCACTGGTGTCCTCACAGGTAATACTTGTAAGTGTGTGTATGTGTGGGGAGGGGATACGCAAATGACATTTCTTCCAGTTACAGTCAGCCCATGGCCACACACAAAAAAAGAAACACCCATATCCCTTGTTCCTCTCCTTTCTTCTTCCCCTTATCCCTCCTCTCCCTCCCTCTATCCCCTTCTGCTCTCTCCACCCCTTTTGGCTTCTTTAGACCTCCTCCCCTTTTCCTTCCTTCACTCATCACCCCACCCCTTCCCAGGCAAGCCCATTTCTCCTCCTCCATCTTCCCTTCCTCTGTCACTTCCCCCCAACTCCCCGTGTGTCCTTCTTATGCCTCCATCTCTTTTGTTAATTCTCTCTCTCCACTTGCCTCCTCACCCCTTCCTTCCCTTGAACTCTCAACCCTCCTTCCTTTCTTATCCCTCTGTCCTTTCCTTTCTTATCCTGTCCCACCTAGAAGATGTTTCAATTCCCAGTCCTTTCTTAGGATGCCAAATGACTACTACTCTCTACCGCCCACTTATTGAAAATATTACAAACTATGGTTTTTCGTTCAAAAGATCAACAAAATATTTGTAGTTTCATAGTGGTTACAACCTTTTATAAACACCTATTTTTTTTTTTGCATCAATTCAACTTCAGAGGGAAAAAGAGCGCTTGATTTATACATCATCTTAACATCACATGAGTTCTATTATTTTCTATTTTTTCTTTAGCTATAGAAAATCAATAGTTATGAAATTTTGTGGATAATGTTTGTGTGCTCTTAAGTTCAAAAAGAGTTAAAAGCAATTTTGTTCAGCATATTTTTGTTTGTAATGAAAAAAAAAAAAAGTTTAAGTGGTTTAAGACAGAATATCCTATTATGTTCCCTACGGGTTTTACAAGAAAATTCTGCTGGTGGATAAGCGTTGGGGAAGTTACAGAAGGTAGCTGAATACACAGCACACTGAGAATAGTCATAACGTTCTAGGGTCAGGGTCTCTTATTTAAGTCCTACTAATTCCAGAGACAGCACAGTTCTAACGAACACTAACTTCTAGTCCACTCACAGGAGTTTTCTGGAGCATAAAACATGTGTTCAAAAAGAATTTTGGTCTTTTTATAACCTTGTGAAAGTTTTATTTAATGCATGTGTCTTATTCCACCAATAGAGAAACATGGTATGTTTTATGTTTCCTGTAGTTTATAAACATGTCAAATTTTAAGTGCAAAGACACGTCACCTAGTGGCTGATGAGCCAAGTTACCATTTATATAACCAATGCCAACATTAATGCTACATAGTTGAATTCAGTATTTTATAATGAGCTTTAAAAATATTATATGCCTGAACTTTAAATGTTAAGCACTGCTTTTCTAAGGAAATTAGTATATTACTAAAAAGGTGTTGCCAAATACACTCACTCACACACAGTCATAACACCATTCAAAGACTTTTGGGAAATTAGCTTAAACTTTACACCCATTTTCAAAATTGCACATATGACTATTTTTTTAAATATTTTTCACATCTCTGATGTAGTCTTTATTTGACATAAGTATTTTACTCTCTGCTTATTAGACAGATATGTAGACAGCTATTACTAAGTGATTTTGATTGCTTCCTTAGGGCAGAGACAGAAACCTTATTTTAATTATGTTCTAATGTTTGAGTTTCTATATTTTGTACCACTGATAATTCCACTAAAACGAAGTCAAGAATTTCAAAACTGTAAATGGACTCAGAGAATCCATTCCTGATTACATATTATGAGAGTCTATTTTCCATCATGTTTTAAGAGAGAATTTGTTACCAATTAGGTAACATTCAAGCTTTCTGGTCTGTGTTGTCCTCACAATAAACATACTGAACTAATAAAAAATAAAAGCAGCACAAGATCATTAGAAACAATTGTCTTTTTAAGAGGAGAGAATGAATAATTACTTGTATATCTCAGTGCCAGCCCATCCCACATTGATCCAGTGCTTTGAGATTACAAAGCTAGGAAATGACAGAATTAAGACTAGAACCAAAATTCTGTTAAATCACGGATAATTAAAATGCATGAAACATGCATTAAGATCAGAGTACTGAATTTTCTTGTTTTTGTAACTATTTGTCATTGAAAGGAGGTACTAAAAATTATATATTATCCTAGAAAATGTATGAGCTAATGCATTTCTAAAGGTGAAAAAAGGGTAGGTATTTTTCTGTTTAATACCCGACTTTCAACTGGTAAATCTATCTTTTAAAACAAGAAGCTCAGGAGCTTATGATTTAGAAAGAAATCATCATCAGTTCCGTGATCATATAAATTGTAAGTTAATAAAATACTATGATACAAAATTTTGTGTTTTTCATTCATTATACCTTGTATTTCCTTACTACCTCTGGAGTATCCAATATCAGGTAATCTAAAAGCCTGTAAGTACCTAGATATTCTGATTAAGATCTGGAATTAAACATATCAGCATTATAAAAGAAGAGAGTAAAGGCCCTGGAACAATTCTGGGAAAGAAAGACTGTAATCAAATGTACTTTACTAATTCAGATTCCTAGGTTGGTGTCTTATGTACAGGCTTATTTCAAAAAATCAAGAAACATTGGCTATTCGTTTTCAAGAATTATAGCTGAGACTACAGACTCCTCAGGACACCCCTGTTCCACACTTAGATTCACATGCTAGACCTTGAATCGTCACTCAGAGAAGAGTGCCATCTACCGAAACTCCATGGTTTCCATGGTGCATTACTCCTCTGTGTAGAGCGCCAAAGATTATACAGCCCAGTTCTTTTCTTTTGTAACATCAAGTGGTACCAATGCCTTTGCGTGATTAGTGGATTGCTTAAGAGTTAAAGATTTAAAGATGAAAGATGTTATTGCTTTTGCTGGACATGAGGAACATTTGTAAAGTTTCCAGGTCTACAAGAACTTTCTGGACTCATCTCAGAGAACTGTTTCTTGTAAAACAGTTTTCCCTAGGGAAAAAAAAAGCTCAGTCTCATTGTTTTTCTGCACTCAAGAAAAAAAAAAAAATGGGGATCAGGTCATATAGTGTAAAAAAAATCCATAATTTTCAAAGGGGAAATTTTGTCTGTTTCATGTCAAGATAACAACGGAAAAAATGAGATAGCTATTCTTACATAAATCATTTGTGAACTCCAGTTTGAGGAGTTACATTAACCACTAGAATTTCTGTCTGTGCCTAATGAAAACACAGCAGAAGTGAATTCCATTCCAATTAACTAATAAAACCCTTGTTTTTTCCATGACTGAGGTCAAGCACTGCCATTTAAAATGTAAACTTGTGAACAAAATTAAAAATTCAAACAGAGCAAAAGTCAAAATGCCCAAAAGATATAAAAATCAAAGATAAAAGATCCATAAATTATTAAAAATTAAACCAGCCTTGAAAAGTAACATTGAGAAATACTATTTCAGTAAATGGCATATATTCTCCTGAGATTTTTTTTTTTTTCTATAGCATTTAGTGTGGAGGATGACAAACAGAGACGCCATTTTTAAGTAAAGTAAAATCATAGAAATATTCTTTGGAGTTGCATAACATGTTCATAATGTCCAAGTTTCCTCCAAGGAAAACTTCTAATAAAGTTAGAAGTTCATTAACACAAATCATTTAGTAACTGCATTTTCTAAAATTTTGTGTGTTAGTGAGATATCCTAAACATGTTTTTGCATTGGATACAAAAGCCTTATCTGTTTGTCATTGTTGTTGCTGTTAAAATCCTACTTCTTTGTGTATGGCAAAATGTATGCTGAGTCTCTGAATCCCACGTTTATCCTGTTGGTGGTCTGGATGTCATCAGGGTGGCTTTGGAGATACCACACTTTGCATAAGGTCAAGAGAAAATAAACAATAGACTTCAACTCCAGATGGTATCTTTCTGTTTTGAGACCAGATTGAAAAGATATTTTACAGAGAATTATTCTTAAAAATGTACCTTTTTAGATTGATTTTAACCTTACAGGGCTTATTAACCATATGAGACAGAGCTTTGAAATTGGCTTCCTTAGTCCTACTCAGTTTTTGAAATATAGAAAAGGAATACAATACAGTAGTTAAGAGTATCAAACTTAGAGAAAGTCTTCCTACGTTCAAATCTTAGTTTTACCCTAACCATGTAACCTTGAAAAAATTCCTTGAGGCTTCTGTGTGTCTCATATTTAGATTATGACAACATTCAGCTCTTGGTCCTTTGAGAGCATTTAGCAGAGCAATATGCAAGCACTCAGAACAGTGCTTAAACACAGAAGGTACTATACAAGCTCTGCCTAGTACTAATTTTACTAACAATGGCAAATCAAAGGAAAGGAAGGAAGGTAAGATGTAAAATCTTAATTATCAGAGTACAAAATTTAAAGATGTTTGACAATTGTAATAAAACAAGTAGAATATATTTTCTTCTGTGCTTTTATAATTTGACACCAATCAAAATATATTATAGATGCAATTGCTGGTTAGATAAATGAACTATTAATTTGTTGATTCTCTATTTTATTCTTAGGATAAAATGTTAATCAACTTAAAATTTTGAATTGGAACCAGAAAAGTCATATATCTATAAAAAATAAAACAGAAAAACATCTAGAAGTGATGATTCATTAAGTTTTTTTTCCTGGTGGGAGCAAGAATAAATAGAATCTACCAGGTCTATGCAAATGTTTTGAAGTTGAAATTATCCATCTATAATGTCTACAGATATTCCATCTAACATATTTTAAGATATGCTGATAAATATGTAAGCAGCAGAAACATATTTAATAAAAATATATGTTCCAAACAGTATCACTTAAAAAACAAACCAAACATATTTCACATGGAAACTATGTGAACTCCAAATATCCACACTTACAAAGTGTTCAACTTTCTAAAGTAATTTAAAAATTGTTATGATAATTTACATATCAAATCTGTGAATTTTAGATTTTCAGATTAAAGGACACCTATGCTCAGATAAGGATTCAGTCAGAAAGGAGAAAACAAAATATTCACTTGTCATTCAAGCTAAGCTAACAATTTAATTAGATGCTTTGGGGAATGTTATTTCAACTCCAAAAATGGTGTTAAGGAAAGCATAATTTGCATTTTTTTAGTCATAGCAATAATATTCTTTCAATTCAGCATGATTTAACACTAGGAGAATAGAAACAAAACTAACAAAACAGTAAGCTTTAAACACATCTAAAAATATAAAATGATGTTACTAGGTTTTATTATTCTCTAAAGTTTCAAGATAGAGAGCTAGGAAAAAAGAAGCTAAGAGTGCATTATGTCATGTGCTAGATTCATTATGTTTTATAATTTAGATTCCAGCAAGGAGATGATTAGTCTAATGCATTGCTTTTGTGATCACAGGTAAATTTATTTCAGAATTGACCTTTGGAGTGAGGAATAGAAAGACCAAATGGCATGAGAGGTGGAATTTAAAATTAGTTACAAATTGAAACGGGGAGACTTAAACAACAATAAGGGAAGTAATTAGAAAATATATTACTTTGTCCAGAGGTAAAAATGAGATTATTTGCCTTTAATTTAATATTTCATAAAAACATTTAACCATTTAACATTTTAATCAAAGCTACTATGAAAACAGACATCTAAGAAGAAAGGGAATAATATGAGATGACTTATTTGTGAATCTCATTTTCTATTCTATTTCTAAATGTTGCAAATGGCTACCTACAGCATTTTATTCCTCTTGAAAATAGAACACTCTGTTCCTTGGTTTGCCATGATTTTCCCACATTTAACCAGGTACTTAAATTAAAGACCATGAGACTTCTGTGTAAGAGGCTTAGCTTCCAGTATAACATACTGCTAACCATATTTTCTCATGCACAGAATAATAAATTAAAGGAAGCTACACAAAAGTCCTTGCTTTCAGCAAAAATAATTGAGGTAGAGAAAGGGTTGATTTTCAGCCACAAGTTTTTATAGGAACTGACTTTTCAGGAAAGTCAAATTTCTTTCAAATGGGTATGAAATAAGTATGGCAATAAGCAAACTTGCATTAATTCTCATTTTTTAAGCATCTGGATTAACCCAATTCTAACAAATTGATTTACAATTTTAGTAAGTCAATATTGTATTCATTTAATAGTCTAAAGAGCATATGAAAAAATTCTTCATTCCTAGTGATGTGAGGATACCCTTAATGAGACATAAATGTAGGATGATGAATACACAAGGGAAAAAAGGATATATGTTAATTTCAAGGTATATTAAGAACATAGAAACAGAAGATATTTAAAATTGGAGATGTTTGAACCTAGCTTTAACTGTTATCCTCATTTGTCTTTAACATGCCATTGAAATTTAGTAATTACTTTTTATAACCCACATAGTGTATTAAATGTAGAAAAATATTTCTCATCCAGAGACAAAGAGCTCAAAGAATCATTAGTATAATCTAGAACTATTTTTGAGGGGGCTAGGGTTGGGGGCTTAAAACTCCACATTATTAATGGGAAAATCTTGAACTGAAACTAATTGGTAGGAGCATTTCATATAAAATTGATTTAGAGAAAGTTTAAAATGATTCATTGTAAGAAAGGGGAACCAATGCAAAGATTGAAGACTGTTTCAAGTGATTTTACCAAATAATTTTCAATCTCAAAATTTTCATACCAGTGCAAACCTGTGAACTCAGTTCTTAAATATGTCAGTTCTGCTTAGAGAACAAATGGGTTTCATGCATACACCCTCTTATATTACTGCTGCTCATACCGACATGAAAATATAGTTTGTTCTTCTCTTAAGCATGTTTTTCATAACACCACCCGAAGAAGTCTACTTCATTTGCACTGACATAACCATTTTGAGATTCAGTTTTTATGTTTACTAATAATAAAGAAATGCTCTTTTAAAAGCTTAGAAAACATCTCTCTCCTGTGTTCTCATATATCCATTTCAAATATGGAGGAAAAATTTCTAAATAAACAAGATTCTCTCTTGCCTATTTAAAATCACAATAAAACAATCATGCTTTTTTTATTAGCTATAGGCCACATCAGGAAATGTAACACATGGCAAGAGTAGATTTTTAAACTTCTTGAATTGATCAAATGTGTTGCACAAGATCATTAAATTTGTGTCTACACACAGAAATGGAAATGAGAAATGGAAGCAATGTCAGTATTCTGTAGAGTCTATAGGTTTTGAAATTCTCCTTTTTGATGATCTTTTACTAAATAAGCTAAACATTTCAACTCAAAGTATTTAAATTTGAATCTAAATTATTATTACTCTAGATTACTCTAGGGAAAGGATATAGAAAGAAGAACTTTAAACAGGCGATCTTCGTGACTGTATGTATACTGTCCAGATGGAAAAATCTCAGAACCACTGAAAGGCCTCTTGACCACTAGGCAGCAAAAAGTATAGTTTTAAAATACTTGCCTACTCTGAAGCACGCTTCCTTTAGCAGACATTTTAAAGATCTTGGTATTTAGAAAATAAAAATTTAGTGTCTCACAAAAGTACAAAAGTACTTAACAGTACATCATTTGTTGTTCATAAAAATTTTGCAGATGTTTAGAAACTTATTATTTATTTACTCAATTACTGGCAGAATATCACAGTAATTCTCAGGAACTAAAGTTGTGTTTAACCACAATCCACAGCTAATGCTTTAAGAATTGAGACCAGGTTTTATCTTGGCAATCCCTAAGCTGATTCATTGTTAATAGCTGCTGAAATTTCAGTACCTTGCATATAATTATGAAGCAAGTCTAAAATTTTGGTTGAAGCACATTTTTTACCATTTTAAGCCACAAATACACATGCATGATTCATATTTTTCCCTATTATTTTTACTTACTCCTTGCCAATATTTGTTTTAAAAACATCTTTTTTTTTTTTTCTTTTGGTGATTTGGAAACCTCTTTACATCTATATGAGATATACAATATATTATGTCATATCATGTTGACTTACTAATGCCCAACAGAGCTAGCAGGGACATTGAATGTGTACAATAAACTCTGTTAAAGGTTTCCCAGAAAAATCTGGAAGAGTTTTATGCTGCCAAGATTAGCTCAGTTTTCCCCTGAATTGCTCAACGAGGTTAATAAAATCCAGAAAGTCTTCAGATTTAGTGACAAAATCATCTTTTTAGTTTAATGCTCCCATCTGCTGTTAAAGCAAAGAATAGCAATTGGGTAGAAAAGCCTATTTTTAATTGCACAATTAATAAATAAGTGTTTACTTATGTGATATTGATTGGTATTCAATTTCTATTATAAGTGAAATTAAAATACCTGTTGGTCTTAAGAAAAATGACCATGGTATGCTAATTTCATGTTAATAAATGGATTTGGTATTTTAAGCAGTCTCTTACTACTTAGCAAATTATCTAGAAAAATATGATTTTCTAATGAAAGGAAGAAGTTATTTATTTCCAACTATCTCCACTTTTGCTGTCGTAAATACTCATGGCAACATAACAAAAATCACATTTCAGCAAAACATAAGGAAACATCACATCATCCAACTTATTTTCTAGCTATTGATGGCGGATGCTCCCATCTTGGTCAGTCCTACGCGGATAGAGATGTCTGGAAGCCAGAACCGTGCCAAATATGCGTCTGTGACTCAGGATCTGTTCTCTGCGATGACATAATATGTGACGATGAAGAATTAGACTGCCCCAACCCAGAAATTCCATTTGGAGAATGTTGCGCAGTTTGCCCACAGCCTCCCACAGCTGTAAGTTTAAAGAAAGGTTTTACATTTTCACGATTCATATTTAAACACGTGAATAGCTCCTATATTACAGGAGCCTAAAAGGAAAGAAAAGTCATGTCTGTCAACTAGTCATGCTGCTATTACAAGTAAAAGGTGAAGGTTCTGATTTAAAGATAGAGTTTGGATATAATCTGGATTAAATATGGAATATATTAAAATATGGAATATATATTAAATATGGAATATAATCTGGAATAAATATGCAACTTGAGACACTCTTCAGAAAAAAGTATTTCTATGTCTTGTTTAACCTGTATCTTTTCCATTTCTTAGCCTACTCGCCCTCCTAATGGTCTCGGACCTCAAGGCCCCAAGGGAGATCCAGTAAGTAAACATTCTTCAGTGGAATAAAATTAATGCTAATGATCGTTCCAGGGATAATTTGGGGTTTTCTTCCTTTCCATATCCTTTACAGGATGCTGAACTTCCAACATTCTTACATTTTCTTTAATACCACATATTTGAATATTGGCACTAAATGACAAACTGAAAATTCATAATTGTACATGTAAAGATTTCAATTTCCCAAATTTCATTTGTCTTCCTCTGCATTATTATTTTGAAAAATAAAAATAGGTCAATATGCAAAGGGATATATTACACTTGAATTATTTATTGATTTGGATAAGAATGTATTTATCCCCAAGAAAATATATCATTTATATTGATTCCTAATATTATAAAGTAGAGAAGCTACAATCAGATAATGATTTTGAATTATTAGGACTTTTCACCATTTTATTTATTTTTACCTCTGATTTATTGCTTTTAGGGCCCTCCTGGTATTCCTGGGAGAAATGGTGAGCCCGGTATTCCAGGACAACCAGGTCTCCCTGGTCCTCCTGGCCCCCCTGGATTCTGTGAATCATGCCCTACTGGTGGTCAGGTAATAAATTATAGACAAGAAGATCCCCTCCTACAAAACTAACTAGTTCATCTTCTTTCTTCTCACTATTATGAGGGTTTTTTATCTGTTCTCTGATATTATGTATTTAACAAATCCTTATTTAGTGTTTATATATGTGAGGCACCATACTAAGGGATTTATAAGTATTCACTCTTCTTCATAATGCCAATGCTATTGTTACTATATGCTTGCAAAATTTCCCAACTTTCAGCAGACATATAACATACACACTATGCTTGAGAGATGAACTGTCAATTTCCAAAAGAAGTAACCTACAGAGTTTAGGAAGTTATACCTTATTCCCCTTCTAACACCAATGGCAAAGCCTCTGAATGATTGGACAAAAAGCAGTTGAAGAGCTGTGGATGTCTTTATTGACCTCAACTCAGTAGGATTATTCATGACTGTGCAAATGTTCTTGCTAATCCTTCAGAGCACATCCTGCTCCTTCTGAAGCATGGCAACCAACTAATTCTGCATGTAAAACAAATAACCAAACTGATAGGACAAAATCTCTGCTGCATGGAGTCAGGTGAAATTACAAAACATATATACACAAATCTTTATGAGGGTAAAAAAAAGTACTTCCTGAGAAGCAATTCAACAAGAAGCAAAGGCTATATCTAACTTATTCTTAACCTGGTAATCAAATAGGAACCATTTCTAAACCTAGAACTCAAAATGAAGTAAGCTCCAAAGAAATCCAATAAGCATGAGCCTTTCTACTATTGTTTTGCTAATTTTCTATGGGGGGTTTAATTTGGGGGTGAATCTTTTAGGCACATTAATCAGAAACCAGGGAATATGAATTTTGCTTGTATCATTAACTCCTGGAAAAGTAACCTGACCTCTCCATTTTTCTGTTCAAAATAAGAAGGTTGGATTATATGATCTTAAGCCACTTTCAGCCTCAGTCTATGATCCTATGCATGTAATGCTGTAAATATTACTTAGAAATAATAGTTTAAGAAAGAGCATATGGGAAAAATTGGGGGGATTAACACTGAACACAGTTGAAGATTAGTGCACAAGCAAGAATTTCTGTAGGATATCTAATATCTAAAGCTATAGAGAAGATTAAACATGATAATGAATTAATACATACCACATCCTCTGGCATGCAGAAACCTATCAGTGAAATCCTAAATGCTTTTGAAAAGAATTATGATCTGTATATTAAAATAATCATATCTCTCTGGTTTCTTTGCTACAGAACTATTCTCCCCAGTTTGATTCATACGATGTCAAGTCTGGAGTAGGAATAGGAGGAATCGGTGGTGGCTATCCTGGGCCAGCTGTACGTACAAATGTTTCTCAGCATTTTAGAGCATCATTTAACATTTTAGTTTGTTGAATCTTGAATAGCTATTCTAGGAATACAGTATTTTTATGGAATTGTACAAAATAGCTTATTCTTTACTAACGTTGGAAAAAAAATAGCATTATCACCTTCCTGTTATCCTAATTCATTATTTTTCACCACCTCTCCTTATACAACCACCTGTATCAGGGGCCACCTGCTTTTAGGATTAGGTCTCACATTCAGATATTCTCTAATTTTAATCAAATTTCATTATTTTCATTTCCATTGTTCTTTGTTCTCACCTAAATTATTCAAAATCTTCCTTTACATCATTTTATTCATTAAATGCTGCTTTCTAGATAACAGATCAAATAGTGAATGCCCAATGTCACAATCCATCTCACCTTCGATTCTCAAATCAAACATAAATATTTACAGAATGCATTGATTCATTAAGTTCATCTGCCTTAAATAAGAGCTGTTTACCTTGTACTTGAAGGGTTTCCCTCAGCGTGAATGACCTAGAGTTTTGATAGAAGAAAACAGCTAAAAGCATTGAAATTTGAGTGCATGCACAAGATGCATAATGTCCCATGCAAATGTCCCTGTTACAGAACAATTTCTCATGTGAAGCAATAATAGAGAAGTTTATAATTTCACTATAAGTAACAGGAGCATAAGTGTAAATGAAATATGCACTGGATTTTCTGAGATTACTGGAGAATTGCTGCCCAGATCATTGGACCTCATATTTGTGACTTCCAAAAGTAAATAGCACAATATTTTTGCCAATAGATCCAAATGACCTGTTAAAGATAGACCTGTATAGTTGCTATAAAGTAAATTGCAAAAAGAAAATTTACAAAATCTCTACAGTTTTGGAGACTGTGATATTTTTGCATCTTTCAAAGCCAGAGGGAGAATTATATTAACTTATGTAAACATTATATCTGATTCAGCTACATTCACATTATGAATCCTATTTTTAATCACATATGCACTTTTTACTAAAAAAAAAAGTTAAATAAAGCCACCACTTACTGACATTCCAGAAAAGTGTATATAAAATAAAAATTTAATTAAAAACTGTTTTTTTTAAAAAAATTACTATCATTACTTAGAAACAGCATGCTACAAATGGATAGTTTTCTACTATTATCTATATTTCTGAACAACAAAAAATCAGTTGTCCCTTCTATGATGATTCCCATGTAGACATCTAAATCTCTGTGTCAATATAACTCCGTGATATGTATATCAACATAATTATGAGCTTTGGGGTTGATTTACATTATTATTTTTGAAACTTTGATCATAAGGTTACAGTATGTCAATAAATATTTTTTTTATTCTGAGTTTGGCTGCCAGGCAAGAAATTGCTTCTTCACCAGTGCAGTATCATCCTGATATTGCAAGGATTCTCATAGCATTTTGTACTAATGTTTCCAGATTTTGAATTCCTTCTTTAGGGATTCAGGTCAATACTTTATAACATTTATCAATGATTTGTATTAATTCTGTGAGAATTTCATTTAGAGTGATGTTTTCTTGCTGAGATCTTAATTGCAGATCTCACAGAATTAATCAGTGAATATTTGTCAAAAATTGAGATAGGGTTGTTCACATTTTTAAAGGTATCAGTATCATTTCTAAACAGTCATCTCTTCGATGCATGGGTAAATTGTATTTTACATTTATTTATTTTGTGTTTATCATTCAAATTTATATTCCAGGGTCCCCCAGGCCCTCCTGGTCCCCCCGGTACAGTTGGTCATCCTGGCTCCCCTGTAAGTATAACCAAAATTGGGGCTTTCTTCTTCCTGTATATGCAAATCAAGTTAATATAGGTCTTGTTGTAACTTATCCATTCCATTATGCATAATTCCAATTTAGTAGTCACAACCAAGAAACTGATTATTCTTTCAAAGATGTTGGAATTCCATATTTAATTCCTTTCTAACCAAAACTGTTAACAATTAAAACCTTGGTAAAATTAAAGCACATATTTAATTTGTTTGTGAGTAATATGGCTTTGAGTTCAAAAAAGTCCAGTTTCAGTGGAATGAAATGGATGGAATGGAATACATTAACTTTATTCTGGTCTCATCTTTATTAATTGGAATAAAATTTTCTGACTAAATCCACATATCTTGATTTCTTACTGTAAAGATATAAATCAATCATATGAAGATTTTTGTCACTTTTTAAAATATTTATATATTCTACTTACTAGGGTTCTCCAGGATATCAAGGTCCCCCTGGTGAACCTGGGCAAGCTGGTCCTGCAGTAAGTGACAATTGAATCTTTATTAACAATTCTTTATTGACAATTAACAAATCTTTATTGACAATTCTACATAGATGTCATGATTTTCTAAAACAGTCATAGATACCTACAGAGTGTGTAGATTAATTTGTGAATAATAAATAACATTTTTATGATACTTGAACTGATTTCAATGATCTTTTGGATTCTTTCAATGGTTTAGATATTTTAGAGACACTACTTAATATAGTAATTCTCTGATTAATCACAATAGTCTACTTACCAGAGTTGATACAAATTATCTATTAAATATAGATTTCATTTTCCTATAGCCTCTCAATTCACTCTTATATCTACTCTTACTTATGTATACTTTAAACCCATATAGTATAATCTAATAGAATCTTTCACAAGGATATACTGTGTAAATAAGAAAGTAAGATGGAGTTATTTTAATACATTTAAAAATATTTAGAAATATATTTATATTTGGATATGTTTAATATCTCAAAAAATGTAAAAATGCATTTGGATTTATGAATATGTGCATGTAGTATAAGATATAGAAGCATGATACTTTTAATTTTTATTAAAATTTTAATAAACAGTAAAAGTTAGCTATAATAGAGGCATAATATTAACTCAGGAAGTGTCATTTTCATGATGAGAATCACTGAAAGTATTTTCTAAAAGACATTCCTTCCAGGACTACACATAATATATAATAATAAATTGTAACAGAAAAATTTACCAATATATGTTTTTTTTATTTTCTTAATTTCAGGGCCCTCCAGGACCTCCTGGTGCTATAGGTCCATCTGGTCCTGCTGGAAAAGATGTAAGTTTTTAAAGATTGAATGGAGAAACAGCAAAACTTAACTTGGAATATCCTAAATGATATATGCTGTATGCAATAATCCCAGAGGAAAAGATGTTATTCAAAAAATTATTGTCTTAAGAATATTTTAGCTCACACTAATCTTTGCATATCTGTACACCATTCATATCACAATGTATACCATTTGTATACCAAATGTATACCAAACTAATAAAACCCCCAAATTTGCCTCTTAATTGTCAAGAATACTCATCCATTGAACATATCATTTAACTGGAAGAGTAATGTGCCTTTTGTCTGCTTTTTATAATGAAGACATTGATATCAGTACTTTATGAACTTGAAGACGTATAAATACATTTAAAATTATGCCATTCTTTCTTTCCCATTAAATGTCCAATGGCAGATTCTCCTCTCTGGGTCGAGGAAAGGTAATAATATTTTAGCGCTGAAAGGCATCTGCGTAATCTCTTTATAAGTTTATATTGAGGTGGGAAAAGCCCTCCTCTTTCCTTCTGCTAAGAAAGTTGATCTCACAAAAATACATTTAGTCCAACCATTTCCATTTTAATGAATCCTTGATGAGAAAAATGCAAAGTAATCAGTTTGCTCATTAACTACAATGTGTTTTCTTACACACGAGCACCTATGTATTCTTTATTTTTCCAACTAGGGAGAGTCAGGTAGACCTGGCCGACCTGGAGAACGAGGATTGCCTGGACCACAAGTAAGTTTTCAGCATCTAATAAATTACTTGGAGCAATTGCAATTATCTTAGCTTGAAAAGTACTAGATAATTAAACTGAATTAAACTTAAAAAATTAAAGGTGTTGTTTTACTAAATTATGATTCTATTTGAAGTTCCATTAATATCTTTTCCATTAATTATTTTTAGGGTATGAAAGGTCCAGCTGGAATTCCTGGATTCCCCGGCATGAAAGGACACAGAGTAAGTAGAGTTTCTATATTGTCTACAAGTTTCTTCATTTGGCCATTCTTACCTGCCTAACCAATTTTATTGGACAATTATGTGCCAAAAATGGTTGATTCTGAAAACTAATTTGATTTTTTTTAAAACTATCAAATTTATTTTTTGACTAAACTAGTGATTTTATGTAAAATAAACAAGCTAATTTTAAGTATATGAAAAGGCTTGTGAAAATTTTAATTTAATTTTCTTACCATCACTATCAGAAATAACTGAAAAGGTATGATTAGCTATATGTTACTTATTGACTTAGTCAATATGGTTTATAGATTGAAGTAAGAAACTTTAATTCTATGCAAAACATTAGGTAGATTCAACCAACTGAGCCCAAAATCTATCAACTCAATAGAAAAAAAATCTATGAAACTCACATTTGCTATTCTACAGTTAAGGAAACTTTTTTATCAGACTAAATCGCACTTCCTAATTAGTTCAATTTTTTTACTGTAAAATCAATATGAAATGTCCTTAAACCATTTAAAAGAGTTTTAAATTATTTAAGTTATTGCAAATAGTGCTATGAATAAATGCTATTTAATAAAAATTCATTGTAAAGTTACCAACCATTCCAGATCATTAACATCTTAACATTTTTACTATTTTTATAATAGGGCTTCGATGGACGAAATGGAGAGAAAGGCGAAACAGGTGCTCCTGGGTTAAAGGTAAATCAAAACAAAATAATATTTTCATAAATACATTCATTCAAGTTTTTAATGCTATATTTAAGATTCATATTGTGGGGCTTAACTCTTTCTGAAATTTATCTGAATTTTATATATTAGGAGCTGAATAATGGTGACTGTTAAATATTCTATTAAAGCATCTATGAAAACTGGCAATTTGAAGATTCTAGATTAGAAATGGTTGAGCATCCCAATGTAACTCATTCATTACTTCTATTTAGTCTTTAAGTTTTTAAAATACAGAAATTGAGATGTCTGGTAAATAAAGTAAAATGCTAACTGAAATTTAATATCCTTAAATTGTTAACATTTTCTTAGGTTCCATAATATTCAACATAATATGCTGTGTTTAAGAAACTGTACAATTCTACTCCTGTTATAAAAAATGGTGACATATTTTATATGTGCCTAGGGTGAAAATGGTCTTCCAGGTGAAAATGGAGCTCCTGGACCCATGGTAATTTTATTTCTTACTGTATAATTTTCAGTTTTACTATTAACCTCTGTCTAATCCCAGACTGGCCTTGCTCCCTCTCCCCTCCTCAACAGCTCTTACATATGTCAAGTTTAAATGAAAGTAAGACCATATTTTCAATTTTATTCTGTAGGGTCCAAGAGGGTCCCCCGGTGAAAGAGGACGGCCTGGACTTCCCGGAGCTGCAGTGAGTATTGTCATCAACATTGCCCAGTTACAACCCAAAGTGACAGATGAGTATCTCAGTCAGGTTTTAAGACTGTGGAAATCTGCACAAAAATGTCCTTTCTGCAAAGTTATACTCAAAGTCACCTCGGTAAAATTTTGGCTATAGGTATAGCAAAATGAATGTGTGTTTTATAATGATCTCTGTTGGGAGACTTAGTGTCCATTACTTTTGCATTGGTTATCAGAGCCTTTGTGTCCACATTTAGTTCTGAAACCACAGAATCCAATCTTTCCACATTTGATCATTGCTGTTATAGAAGAGTTTTAACAATTTAACTTTAAAACATATAATTATTGAGCAGATTTCAGTATAGTTTAGGGAAACTCAACTCAAAATTTTAGTCAGAATTTTAGTCAAAATATTACTTGTGACCAGCCTTTCAGAATTGAGAAGATATTTGAGACAAACTTTTCTTTTTAGGGTGCTCGTGGTAACGATGGTGCTCGAGGTAGTGATGGTCAACCAGTAAGTAACTTTCTGTCTAATTCTGATTTATTCCAGGGTAATGAGAGATTATGGGTTGTGGATTATTTTGTAGTATCTATTTTATATATATAGCTAATGTATTAGTATCTCTGACTATTTTTATAATTTAAAACAATGAGAACATATTATTGTAGACCCAATACTCAATATTGTGCATAAACATCTAATTCAAACTAACACCAAGCCCATAAACAAAATCTAGATTCTGATGCTCTTTATTCTACTTGACCAATTTCTAACATCTGTGTGGTGTTTGCAAGGCTAGTTAATATCCAGCATTGGACATGACAATTAATAGAGCCTTACCACATAGATAATACAGATGTTATTTCCACTTTGTAAACTAGAATACAAAAGCTCAGGGCTAAGTAACCAATGCTAAGTCACAGAATTCATGGCAGAATTGGAGAGGACTCCAGGATTTCTAATTTTATATTTCATTCTCTTCTTAATCATATTGTTTCTACATTAATATTTATCCATGAATGATGAATATTATTTTTATCTATATAAGTCTCTTCTTTGTTTTATATGTACTTGCTTACTATTTACTAGTAGTTTTGTCTTTCACTTATTTGATTAAGAGCTCTGAAGATTTTATTTAATGTTTTCAGGGTCCCCCTGGACCCCCTGGAACTGCAGGATTCCCTGGATCCCCTGGTGCTAAGGTAAACATGTATTTCTGTAGAATAATATAAAAATATCTTGGAGATAAAAGAAAAGCATTAGATTGCTTCTTGCAAATGATTTTTTAAAACCAATCAAATGGGTAGCTTTTATCTAGATGTATCTTTAAAGCTTTATTTTTTATTCTAAAAGGGGCATTGTCTTTGGCATTCAACTATCTTGATATCTTTTTTTATGCCTTCTCTCTTTTCCCAGATTCTTCCCTTTTTGGGAAACAGAGATAACATAGTCATACACATAGTTACCAATTTATCTGCCTTTATGATTAATGATTTCTTAATTTAGCTACAATATAGAGTCATTCTACTCCAGTCTTTAGGACAAGGGTTTAAACTGGACTAAATGGTGAACTGGCTCAGTGATTAGTAATGGCAAAGAAAATTGACTACTTAATGTTTTATCCATTAGGGTGAAGTTGGACCTGCAGGGTCTCCCGGTTCCAGTGGCTCTCCTGGACAAAGAGGAGAACCTGGACCTCAGGGACATGCTGGTTCTCCAGGTCCTCCTGTAAGTAACAAATATGGCAGTTGAGAGGGAGCCTGCAGCTACATGTATTCCATGAAATCATATGTTTCAATATTGCTATTAAGTATAATTGCTTGTTTGAAAAAAAATGTTATTAAGTGCTCTACAATGATACTATTGTGATAAATACTGATTTGATGAGTAGCAAACATGGTAGTTGTTGAGGGTTACACTATTCTAGAATTTATGGATTTTATGTTTATAAAACACAGAATAAAGTAGAGAGTGGATAGGATATTTATCTGTATTGAAGACTGCTCCCCAAACTAATCACCAATCAGAAAAGTTCAGAGAAGAAACAAAACTGAGAACCTCTTCTTTTTATTTGTTATTCAGTAATTTAGACCAATTGCATATTGTCTCTAATTTATTTAGATAATGGTGATTCTTGTGCCTATACTTCATATGCTATGTTATAGTTGGAAGAATCAATTGCTACAAAACATGACATTCACTAATAAAGTTATTTTACAAACAAATAACTTCAACATATGCACATTTTTTACATTATTATCAGTATGCTTTTATTTTTCTCTTTAGGGCCCTCCTGGGAGTAACGGTAGTCCTGGTGGCAAAGGTGAAATGGTAAGCTGCCCTTCACACCTTACCCTCATCTCATTCACACGCACATTATTGGCTTCTTTTGCCTTTTGCATGGCAAAAAAATTGTGATATTTAAGTGAGATATTTAGAAATGAAAGTTTAAGTTTGGCTAATATTAGTTTCCTTGGCTTGTTCTTAGGGTCCTGCCGGCATTCCTGGAGCTCCTGGATTGATGGGAGCCCGGGGTCCTCCAGGACCAGCAGGTGCTAATGGCGCTCCTGGACTTCGAGGCAGCGCAGTAAGTTGTCTTTTCTTCTGTTTCTTTGTTATCTGAAAGTTGTGGCTTGATTCTCACAACAAAAATATTAACAGTAATTTTTTTGCTCCTGTTCAGTTGAATTTATGTTGATTTCACCGTGATCTTACAACTGAATTACTGGCGATGATTTAGTCAGTTGAATCCTCCCTGTTTTTAAACCAAGATTTTCGTCCACTTTAGGGTGAGCCTGGTAAAAATGGTGCCAAAGGAGAGCCGGGAGCACGTGGTGAACGTGTAAGTGTTACCACAACAGATTTGCTTATTTCTTAGAACAAATGCAACATAATTAGAAAGTAAACAGGTATACATTTTGCAACTACATTCAGTCAATTTCTTTATTTGCTTTAGGGTGAAGCTGGTTCCCCAGGTATTCCAGGAGCTAAGGGTGAAGATGGTAAGGATGGATCACCTGGAGAACCCGGTGCCAATGGGCTTCCCGGAGCTGCAGGAGAAAGGGTATGTCTGCCAGGAGGTGTCTAAAAAAAAAGCCACATCACTATTACCCAGATGAAGCTTCACCTTCAGGGTGTGGTAACCATTTTCTCTGAAATTGAGTACCTACTCTCAAATATTGTTTAAAGCATTTCATAACATGAGAATATTTTGCCAGTTAGGAATTATAAAAAAAGAAGTTTGGACTGAAGTATTTGTCTTTCATTATTTCCAGGGTGCCCCTGGATTCCGAGGACCTGCTGGACCTAGTGGTATCCCAGGAGAAAAGGTAGATAATTTTAGTTTCTATTTTCCTACATGCTAGTACTACAAACGGGTATTTCTTCTATACAATCTTCCATTAATGAAAATCTAAATATCTGAAAGAAATATATTAGAGTTAATAAAAAATCATAATGTAAAACAATGCTTCCAGTCTCCTGAGCCACTTTCCTGGCTTTCTAACTAAGGCAAGGTCACTTACCCTTTATAAGAATCCTTTAACTTATTTATTAATTGGGAATCATTTATCTCAGCATCATTGCAATAATAAGATAAACTAAAATGCCTGACATTTCTTTAAAAACTCTAAAGTTATATGCAAATATTATTTCATATCATCAAAGATATTTGACTGTAGATTCACATATACTATTCTGAATATTGTTTTTTTAAGCATGTGATATTCATCATAGTTGCTTCAAACTTTTTTTAACGTGGCAATCCAAGCTAAGATAACTATGACTTTATATAGAGAATGTCAGCAACACACAAACACTAGAAGGCCCAAATACTGTTGATGTCTAGGTCAATGAAGAATATTTTAAATATATTTTTATTTCACTTCTTAGGGTCCTGCTGGAGACCGTGGTGCTCCAGGCCCCGCAGGGCCCAGAGGAGCAGCTGGAGAACCTGGCCGAGATGGTGTCCCTGGAGGTCCAGGAATGAGGGTACAAACATTTGTTTGAATGAAGCTTTAATTTAGTGAGAAGAAAGGCAAGACAAATGAAGATGGATCAAAGACAATTTAAATCAATCAGACAATACCTTTTGTAAGGCTCAAAACAAAACAAAAAAAATTTAATTTTTTTTAAAGAAACTTAGGCCAAGATAGATCAAAGAAGAACAGAAAATAAAATACTTGTCTAAGATACTATATAGTCAGAAAAAAAAGATGTACAAATCTGAGGCTAGATATATAAAAGGAAATATCAAAATTATACAAATAAGGTATGTTGTATGTTTTTGAATTGCATTTTAAATCGCTTGATAACTGCCTTCTTTAATTCAGGGCGTGCCCGGAAGCCCAGGAGGACCAGGCAATGATGGAAAACCAGGGCCTCCTGTATGTACATTTTTAATATATCATTTTACCAGTCCAGTAAAAAATGAAATGTATATATTGGCTGAGCCTTAAATATATATGTTTTGATCATAATCTTTACCAAATCTTTATTAATGTGATTTTTTTTCTTATTAGGGAAGTCAAGGAGAAAGTGGTCGCCCCGGTCCTCCAGGGCCATCTGGTCCCCGAGGTCCTCCTGGTGTTATGGGTTTCCCTGGTCCTAAAGGAAATGATGTGAGTTCTGTCACTAATTTCTTCAATATATATTTGACTGTGGGCCTTTTAATTTCCGTATGGGAGTGCACAGATGGTCAAAACTCAGTCTTCTCCTCAAAGCATGGAGGAGTAAATGAAAATCAAATAGTATGTAGGAAGGAAACTAAAAATATAATTGATTATGGTGACATGTGTATGCGTGTGGGGAAGGCAGATCAAAAGTGTGGGAGAGCAATATGATTAATGATTTCCTCTCGATAATTTGTAAACACTGGCCACTTCTTTAGGGTGCTCCTGGAAAGAATGGAGAAAGAGGTAGCGCTGGAGGACCCGGCCCTCAGGTATGCTGCTTTCATCCATTCATTTCTAGCCTTCTAACAGTTGCATTTATCTCCAGCCTTATGACTTCTCTCTGTTATCTGTTATCTTGGTTTCCCTAACTGTTGTTGTTTTTAGGGTCCACCTGGGAAAAATGGTGAAGCTGGACCTCAAGGCCCCCCAGGACCTACTGTAAGTGTACTCACATAAATTGGAGAGGGAAGTGAGTTTGAGGTGGGACAGGGGAAGGGCTTCAGAAATCGTCTAATCTCTGACACTATGTCATTAGAGTTCACCAAAGCAGCTATGCAACTTGCTTAGTTAGCGAGGAGCTAAATGCTGACATTAAATAGTTTATGGTATATATATCTGCTTTGGGCCCAGACCCTCCTCTCTCTTCACATCACTACTTTTCAAATTAAGCAATGAGCCTGCTGAAATGGAAATTGTGTCCACTAAATATGAAAGGACATTTTATAATGGAGTGTATCATCATATTTTTCTACATAGGGGCCAGGTGGTGACAAGGGAGACACAGGACCCCCTGGTCCACAAGGATTACAAGTAAGAATCTGTTATTTAAATGTCATTCCATACCTGACTGTTCAAATTTTGGGTGTTCCTAATAGATTATAATTCATCTGAACCTTAATTTGTGGGTCTGTCTTTCATCTTGAGATACAATGTCAGGAAATGTTATAGATAGGCATTCTTCCATGTCTATTCAAAACATATTAATAAATTATTAAAAATAATTAATTGAAGTCATATAATTCTATATGCTTACACTTAGTTTTCATTATAATATAAATCTATTTAGCTAAATCCATCTTGCTATATTCATCAATACATTTTTATATGTAGCAACAGAAAGAACAGTGGCAGATGTACATAAGTTTGTAAGATATGATTATCACATCTCTGTCATTGAATTTTGAGTGGCATAAATTTTCTATCTCTAAAAGGACCACTAAAAGTACTTTTGAATACTTTGCAGCAGCATGTTTGCATATAAGTTATTCTCAAAGCAGTGTTTGAAGTGATAAAATAATATAAATATGATTCTTTGTAGGGCTTGCCCGGTACAGGTGGTCCCCCAGGAGAAAATGGAAAACCCGGTGAACCAGTAAGTTGTATTTCAGTTTTTAAAGTCAGAAACCAAAAGAATATTTAATAATCATTTATCGATTATGATCTTTTGCATTTTCTTATGCCATGGTATCTAAGTTTTAACATTTAATTTTGAAATATTCATTATCAAAGCAAAGACAAATTATTTGTAAGGCAACTATTACATAGAGTTTGAATTTCATCATAAAATAAAGGACCAAAAAATGGGTACACAATTTCAATATTTGAAAAATTGTACAATATGCAAACAAGGCAAATGTGTATTTTGTTTGTGTTTATGTAACATGTGTTCTAATATAGGCCTAATCATATAATGTCAATATTCTAGGGACCAAAGGGTGATGCTGGTTCACCTGGAGCTCCAGGAGGCAAGGTAAGATTTCAATTTATTCTCTAGCTTCTTCAGTATGTTATAGAACAATTGATTAGTGATACTTTTTTTAGTATAGCAAGCCAAAAGACTCTTTCTTTCAAGGGCAATATTGCAATGTTTTGTGAATACACCTAGAGAAACTTAAGACATTTTCAATACATTAAATTTGCTTTATCTGGAAAATTCAATTTTCTAACATTAATAAGCACTATAGAATCAACCACAGGCTTGGAATGTCAAAAGGAAAAGATTTCCAATATATTGATTCTATATAGGCAAACTGTTTGGGTAGAAGAACCTTAAAATTTTTTCTTTGTGAATAAAATAATGATAATAATAAATGTTTCCGTAACAACTCAGACCAAGTACCCAGTTTTGTTCTTTAGACTCTTTTATGTTTCTATTCAGCTGATCAAATGTTTTTTATAACTATAAAAATTTCCAAATTATTTAAAATAAAAGTTAAGAACATAATGGTAGGCTTCAAAATGATACAATGTAAGGTATTTTTGTTTTGTTATCTGCCTTGGGTTTTCTAATATGGATATTGCATTTTCCTATCACAGGGTGATGCTGGTGCCCCTGGGGAGCGTGGGCCTCCTGGATTGGCTGGAGCCCCAGGACTTAGAGGTGGAGCTGGTCCCCCTGGACCTGAAGGAGGAAAGGTAACTCCACAGAACTCAATTCACCTGGATTTCAGCAAATGCATTTAATTTCCTTCTTGTCATTTATGATTTCTCCCTTAATTCCAGGGTGCTGCTGGTCCTCCTGGGCCACCTGGTGCTTCTGGCAGTCCTGGTCTGCAAGGGATGCCTGGAGAAAGAGGAGGTCCTGGAAGTCCTGGTCCAAAGGGTGACAAGGTATTGACTTGTTTTCTCTTAATTATATAATAAAACAGATACTGTAGGTTGCAGGAAAGCAACATTATTAGGAAGTAATCAACTATATTTTCAAAGTTAATGTTATTATTTTACAGTAAGTGTAATTTGGGACAAATTCCTAGGGCAACTACTAATTAGAACACCTAACATATATACCAGCAAATTCTAAGAGTGGCTGTTCTTGGCAGGTTTTCACTGAGGGTGCCTCTAATCTGATGACGTTGGCTTTTGTTTCACAGGGTGATCCAGGTGGTGCAGGTGCTGATGGTGTTCCAGGGAAAGACGGTCCAAGGGTGAGTGCTCCCGTTGAGGAGAAAGAGGCCTTACCTACATGTGGCATGGGACAGTTCCTCACTTCAACTTTTATTTTTTCCTAAAATTACTCATGATTAATTAGATATTTTACCACCTCTGAGCATTAAAAAGACCCAAATGACTTGATTGTTTAAATCCCTAGTTTATATCTATCACTACCTGATATGTCTACAGTGAACTAAGAATGGAAAAACCTTAAAAGTATGATAAAGGTCACCAGCTAAAGTTTGTAAGTCACTACAATACAATATAATCAATAAAATCCAAGATAATCAATACTGCTCATCAAGAAACTTTTTGATTTAAAAAGATCCACCAGATTTTTTGAGTAACTAAAATCCAAGATATGCAATGCTGTTCATTAGGAAACCAAAATCACTAAATTTCAATGTAATCATTTCTGCTCAGTAAGAGAATTTTCAATTAAAAAAAAGTATTGTAACCCTGTGGTACATTCACACTACATAATATTACTTATAAATAAATAAAAACGAATAAACTATTGATGCTGTACACACAACACATCATACAAACCTCCATGTCATGCTGAGTGAAGAAAAGTCAATCCCAAAAGGATACATACATTCCACTACTATTGTAAAATAACATACTTTTAGAGTTGTAGAGCAGTTTAGTGGTTGTCAGGAATTAGGATGGCAGAGAGGAAATGGATGTGACTATTAAGAGGTGACATGAGGGGCTCTCACGGGTGTTGTATATGTGAGTATCTTGATTGTTGTGGTGGCCATACAAGGCTGCACATTAATAAGATCATTTAGAGCTGCATAACATACACACACATGCACACAAATGAGTGCACAAATAACTGGTGAAATCCGAATAAGCTCTATGGATTGTACCAATGTCAATGTCTCAGTTTTGATATCATACTATAGTTGTGTAAGATGTCAACCTTGGGAGAGACTTGGAGAAGGGTGCACAATTTCCCTTATATTTCTTTGCAATATCCTGTGAATCTGTAACTATTTTGAAATAAAATTTAAAAACAAACAGAACAGAAAAACAGAGTAATCATTTCTATTTACATTAGCAAATATCTTTAAATATGACTGTAATTAAGCCATTTTATAGATATTATATTTACTGTAATTGCTTTAAAAAAACTCATAAATACTTCACTTTTAACAGTCTTAATAAATAACCCATCCTTCAATTAAAGAAAAATATGTCTGGTACTTCATTTATGTAATATAAGTAAACCTAATATTTGAAAATCTCAATTTGAAAAAGTTAATATGTATAATTGATTATACATTGAGTAGTTAAACATTTTAAATTATCAAGCAGTTGAATAAAGAAACATACTGTAATTTAAGAAAGATATTCCTGTAAGATCTTACATCACATTCTGTTTGTCTTCTACACTAGAGACAAAAATGAATGAATCAATAAACTACTACTGAATCCTATTTTCTTCTAGAGTCATCCCCATAGAATCTTATAGTTACGAAACTCTGGAGTATTTATACACTGATCAAATAGCATATCATTCAAGCCATGAAAAAAATCATATTATTTAGTTTATGTCTATATGCTCTATTATTTAGTGATATGTTTATATATTCTGTTTGATCAATATGAAAAATCGTGTATTTTTTCTTCAAAATTAAAAATATACTTTTATTTTCTTTAGGGTCCCGCTGGTCCCATTGGTCCCCCTGGTCCAGCTGGCCAGCCTGGAGACAAGGTAACACAATAGTATTAGGCAACAAAAATAGAATGCCCTTAGCTCTTAGATGCAAGACAGTTGCAACATTGTTTGTTTGTTTCTCTTTTTTCAGGGTGAAGGTGGTGCCCCGGGACTTCCAGGTATAGCTGGACCTCGTGGTGGCCCTGTAAGTGTTAAAGACATTTTCTGCATATTTTAAACCCCCCATAGGCAGTAGCTACTGTGCTTTCCTCTTTAGCAATTCTGTCCCAGACGCTCTGAGCCCCAATTTTGGGATATTATCTTTAGGAACCATATGTCATGCAAGTGAATGATAAATTTCTTAAATATAACATTTACAAGAGACAATTTTAAATTATCCCTTATTTCCTAAATAACTTGGGGAAAATATACAAACTGCACAAGTGGTATACGTTTGTAACTGAGTAGCTATGAAACCTATAGGAACTTTGACTGAGGTTCTTTCTAGATCTAAAATTCTCTACTTTCAGGGTAGACAGATATAGAATACAGATGTAGAGTAATTGTTTTTTTAAATCAATTAATTGATTTTTCAATTAACCCTTTCATCATAGTTTTAAAGGCTTACATTTTTAGAAGTTACATAATTAAGTGTGTTAAATGTTCTTGCAAATAACACCACAGTAGGAGACATAAAGAATCAGTGGTTATGGTATAGTCCATTCCAAATTTTGTTGAGAAATAGAAAAGTCTTCAGAAGTTAAACTATGTTAGTTATCTTTGTACATTTCCTGTTTAAAGAAAAGATAAGATGATGTAGGCCATGATGTGCGTTCACTGTGGGAAGATGTCTGCACTGTGACTAACGAAGACATGTTTCTCTTCAGGGTGAGAGAGGTGAACATGGCCCTCCCGGACCTGCGGGCTTCCCTGGTGCTCCTGTAAGTACGAACGTTTACACATACATGTCCCTCAGCCCAGAATCGCCATCTTGCTGAAAAAATAGCAGAGCTATAAATCAAGTTTGGATTCTAATCTTGCTTCAGCCACTCACTTCCTGTGGAGTTATTATACCCCTATTTTTTTTACTTTACCCTTATTCTTAAAGGGTAATATAAACACCCATCCTGCCTTTATGCTTGGGTAATGAGGCTAAAAGCATCACCATAGATTTAAAAGCATTCTGAAAATTTTAAAACATCTTCCATTACAAGATGATACTATTAATATTAATAATTAAAATTTGTTCTATATCCACTCTTTCTCAAATAGATTTACTGGTGCTTATTTTTAAATGTTTATTCCTTAAAAGGTTTTCTTCCTACGGGGAGAAACATAATGTACATCTTATACTTTCTTGATCATGTTCTTACGTTGTGGAATTATTTTGATTGACTTTGTTTTGTCATGCATTCAGAGAGACTTCTTTTCCTATTTTATTCCAGTATCTTTCCATTTGAAGAATTCTATATTATGAAGAGAAATAATAGCAAGATAAGTGTATCATAAAGGATGTCAGATGACAGGTTGTTGTTGTTTCTGCATTAGGGACAGAATGGTGAGCCTGGTGGTAAAGGAGAAAGAGGTGCCCCAGGTGAAAAAGGTGAAGGAGGCCCTCCTGGAATTGCAGGACCCCCTGGAGGTGCTGGGCCTGCTGTAAGTTTCTCTCTCTCTTTCTCTCTCTGCCTTCTAATGAAAAGACTTAGGTTTATCAATAATTTAATATTTCAAACTGAGATCCCATTTCAGTGTGATAAGAAAGAGTATAATAATCTTCATAGAAATATGTTTGAATCTTAACTCTAGCAGTCTAGATATGACCTCATTTAAGTTATTTTAACTGCTTCATAGAGTTACTGTTTGTCAAAGATTAATGCTTCTCCGAAATTTTGGTTTTGGTGCTATTCTTATCGACCTCCTCCCCCGCATTTCATATAGGGTCCTCCTGGTCCCCAAGGTGTCAAAGGTGAACGTGGCAGTCCTGGTGGTCCTGTAAGTATTGATCTTGTTAACTTTTATTCTCAAAGCATTCATTAACATCAACCTGTATAAAAACTGCTTTAAGGACACTAAAGCCAGGAAGAGAGTGTAAAAATTATTATCACTTACTCATATATAAACAATATGTAAATTCTAAGGGGAAAAAGCAAACCATAAATGACTTCAATGTAGAATGCAGATCCTACTGCATCTTATACTTTATATTTGTTTGTATAGTTATTTGTTCTACTTTTGAAATTTGAGAACATATTATCATTTCACAGGGTGCTGCTGGCTTCCCTGGTGCCCGTGGTCTTCCTGGTCCTCCTGGTAATAATGTAAGTAGTTTTAAAAGTCTTTTGTCATCATGTGTTTCAGATGACATTGGGGGCATTCAGGGTGGTATGGTCGTAGACTCTCATCATGTATTTCAGAAAAAGCATCATATTTGTGTAGGATGAGAAATGTACACGTTGCTACTTATCTCTCTATTAAGTCCCATGTGAAATAATTTGAAAATAGGCTTAAAATGGGAAGAAAAACAAACTATTTTGTGATAAATATTTAAAATTCAAATAATTCTTTGTAGGGTAACCCAGGCCCCCCAGGCCCCGGTGGTTCTCCAGGCAAGGACGGCCCCCCAGGTCCTGCAGGTAACAGTGGCGCTCCTGGCAGCCCCGGTGTGTCTGGACCAAAAGGTGATGCTGGCCAACCAGGAGAGAAGGGACCACCTGGCGCCCAGGGCCCTCCAGTAAGTGCTTTTATTGCTTTATTGATTGACAATACTATTCTGTTTTCATCATGCATGTAATAGAGGAAAAAAATAGTCACATAAAAATGAGCAAAATCTTCTTTATCTGTCACATTAGGGAGCTCCAGGCCCACTTGGAATTGCGGGGATTACTGGAGCACGGGGTCTTGCAGGACCACCAGGCATGCCAGGTCCTAGGGGAAACCCTGGCCCTCAAGGCATCAAGGTGAGTGTAGCCATCTTTCGCTAGACTTGCTTCCTTTGATAGCCTTCAGAGATCACTTAACCATTTCAAATACGAAAAGTTTTCCTGTCATAGGTGCAAATTATCCAAAAGATAACGTTTTCATCTATTTTCAGATTTTTGGAAGCATACATTTTATTAAGTGGCTCCAGAACACAAAACAAAGGCACTTCAAAGAGCAGCCTTGAACATAAACACAAATTGATATCACAAAAAGAATTTTGCCATCTCAAATGCCTCTCTTAGGAAACTGTGAGCTTTTGTCAGTTTGTTGACTGTCAATCTTGAAGGTGGAGGTAATGTTAGCTTATAGATCTATGAAAGGTTTTAGTTGATACCAGTTTTCCATCCAATCAAGTCATTTTGCACTCCTTTCTTTCACTATTATTGCTATAACATTCTAGTGCTTAGCATCTAAAATATTCATACAGTAAGTACAGCAATAAAATTTCATTTTCATAAGGGCTCACATAATGACACTTTAAGCACCTCTTTCAACAAAATGTTGGGTAATTTTGTCATAAAATTAAAATTTAACATGTGAGTATATTCAATTTATATGACATATCAAGTAAGTGTATATTCTTCAGATGGAGACAAATGTTCAATAAAACCTAATTCTAATGCTCACCATAAACCTATAGTTTCATGATGGTGCATCATTATTTAATCTTACAATATCCATGTCTATTTCTACATCTCATATTAGAATGTGTGGCATTCTAAATAAGATAATCACTGTAAATACTCAGTCCTTTGGCACCCAGAGTCACTGAGCAGGTTAAAAATGGAAGAAGTTTGCATCCCCCAAACTTTTTCCACATAGAAAATTTTTTTAGAAAAATTTTTTAAGAAAATAATTGTAAAGAAATTAAATAAAATAAAATTATTCCCTAAGAATAAAGACATTCTAATAACATCATATTAATTGAGTTCTTAAGTTAAAATAAAATGTCTTTTATCCCTTTGTACACAGGGTGAAGGTGGTAAACCAGGAGCTAATGGTCTAAATGGAGAACGTGGTCCTCCTGGACCCCAGGGTCTTCCTGGTCTGGCTGGTACAGCTGGTGAACCCGGAAGAGATGTAAGTAATGGTTCTTAGGAAATGTTCAACCAGCCAGGTAGAATTTAATAATTTCTTTAATCAGAGGTCAAATTGAGCCTTCACATCTGAGAGTGTAAATGTGGCCACATAGCAAATTTCTCCTTCTTTCTCTGATAAAAAGATATTCTTTGTATTATAACGTATAAGAGACTTAAAGGCTCATGTCCATTAATATTCACCCAATGAATAATCATTAATGAGGAAAATATGATCTCTAGCTTAATTAGTAAAGAAGTTAGTAGGGAGAGCCCCAATTTACAGCTTTTTCCTCAGTGAAAATGTTCTGCAGTTATCTGTGATTAGTTTTTGCTTATTTTTAAAAATTTTCAAAATATTTTTAATTGACAAATAATAATTATATACATTTATGAGGTATAATGTGATGTTTTAATATATGTATGCAATGTGGCATTCCACTTTGCATTGTTATGTACATATATATTATTAAATCAAGTAATTAAACCATATATTTCCATTAACAGCTTAGGTCACTATTTCTCAAACTTTTATTTACTAGTTCCTCTGTAAAGACCCCATTTAGATATATTTTTCCTAATCCCCTCTCTTTCTCCCACCCTGTGAAATTTTAGGACCATGGATATACTAAATAACTGTTTAGGTATTGTGACTCTTTGAAAAGTCATATTCCATTGTAATATCTAAGATTTCTCACCCCCAACAACCAATTTTTACCCCCTTGAGAATGTACTGCCCTATTGAGAATGCATGGCCTAGATAGTATTTGGAGGGTTGCAAGAAACTTCATTTTCTTTCTCATTTTTCAATAAGGGAAACCCTGGATCCGATGGTCTGCCAGGCCGAGATGGGTCCCCTGGTGGCAAGGTAATACAAACACATGTACAATAGGCTTGTGTAATTAAAACAAGTGATCATTGTATTTATTTTGGACCTGTGTCTTTGTTCACAGGGTGATCGTGGTGAAAGTGGCTCTCCTGGTGCCCCTGGGGCTCCTGGTCATCCAGGCCCACCTGGTCCTGTTGGTCCAGCTGGAAAGAGTGGTGACAGAGGAGAAAGTGTGAGTTCTAATAAGCACCATCTCTCTTGTCTCTTTTCTTCAATAGAGAACTTTTCAGATATAAAGCAGGATGTCAGATCTGCCAACCAAAATATCTGCTACCATTGGCTTTACAGTTTTATGCTAACTGTTCCTTAGACAAATGTGCTAATAAAGATATACCAGAAGTTTCTGGAAATAGTCAATGAAGAATTCATTGCTTAAATCCAAAACAATTTAATCAGATCAGCTCTCTGTTTGCTGGAAAGATGCAAGGTTAAATTAACAAAGCTATTGCCTAGATTTCCTGTTTAGATCTCCTTGCAAAGATATAAACAAGGAAAGAAATTTAAAGGAAAAAAATCACTTCTAGTAGTATGTATACTATTTTTCCATCAAAATGAAATTATTAACTTTTGAAAGTAAAATTGTGCCAATAAGTTAAAATAAGTCCATGTGTGTTTGCTTATTTGCTTGTTTTTATCTTAGGGTCCTGCTGGCCCCGCTGGTCCTGCTGGTCCTGCTGGTGCCCGAGGTGCTCCTGTAAGTTTAGTTTTGTTCTGTTTCTGTTTTGTTCATTTTTGTTATTTAACTCATTCTTCAGTATAGGAAATATTCTATTTTATGGCTTGTTCAGGAAAAGGTATGACACAATATATAACTATACAAATATTGACTTTCCTTTGATGATATAGAAAGCAATTTAGAATCTAAAATTTCCTTGGGGCCAAGGATATAAACATCAATTATTGAGATTCCATGTGATTATCAGTCCAAAATTCAAACCACCAAAACAATCTTTATTGTTCCATGTATAAAGTGTCCCTTGATGGGGATTTTTAGCTAATAGAATGTCATAAAACAGATTTAATTATTATAACTCCTATTTTACTACCCCAATATGTGTGTGTGTGTATGATCTTAATTTGAAAAATGTTTCTAAAGGGTGCCCAAGGCCCACGTGGTGACAAAGGCGAAACAGGTGAACGTGGTGCTAATGGCATCAAAGGACATCGAGGATTCCCTGGTAATCCAGGCCCCCCAGGCTCCCCAGTAAGTGCACCCCTTTTGCTAAAAAAATCCCCTTTGATGCATTTTAACCTATGAGCTAGGCAAATTGTGGAGACTAATAGTAAAAACTTTTCCATCTTTAATAGTATATGCTAGACGAGATGGGAAATGGATTTGAGGGCTAATTTGAGATAACAATTGACAGGAAACCATGGGGAGATTAAAGAAAGAGTAATCCACATTTCATCATTATCCCCATATTTCTTGATCTGATCTTGAATGTACAATTTCCTAAAACTTTTTAAGGTCTTCACTCATATTTACCCTTCCTTTCCTTCCAGGGTCCTTCTGGTCACCAAGGTGCAGTCGGTAGTCCAGGACCTGCAGGCCCCAGGGTAAGTAGCACAGAAGGATATTGGAAGGTCTACATGTTTTAAATGCTTGCACTTCAGAAAGATATTCTAGCATTGTAATATCATGATAATTTTTTAGGGACCTGCTGGACCCGGTGGACCCCCTGGCAAAGACGGAACAAGTGGACATCCAGGTCCCATTGGACCACCAGGCCCTCGAGGTAACAGAGGTGAAAGAGGATCTGAGGTAAGACATCACTTATACATATGTGTATATAATTTTCTACAATCTTCAATTTTCAGAAACACTGCAGTATTTTTAAACTGAGATAGTAAGTTAAACACAAAAAGCAACCCCTTAATTTAGAAAATGAACAATGACTTTAAGACATTCTCCACCACATTAAGATTTCTTTCCACCACACTATAACAGGGAAAGAAAGCCTTTCCTATAATTTGATCAGATGATCAGATAGATAACAGTTATATTAGAATAATGACATCTTTCCAATTAACCAAATAAATCATACCAGCATTGATCTCACACTAGAGATCTCACAATACTGATAATCATAATGATTTGCACTTATGGTAGTGCATTGTACTTCTCAAACAGCTTCCAAGATTCCTATTTTTACTACTGATACCATCATTCTTTGTACTTTTCTATCCCATGCTTCTGGAGTCAATGGAATCAAAACTATTATCACCACAATTTACACATGTGGCAATTTAAACACACATAAGTGCTCAGATGAATGACACAAAGTTAATACCTACTTTGGGGACAGAATCTAAGTTCCCTGATTTTATCCCCTCTGTCATGTCAGTGTAAGAATTGTGGTTCATTGGCTGTTTGCTTGTATCATTTATACAGAAGGAAGGATGATAAGAGTAAATTTGTTTTCTGACACTACCGATTCTCACATAGTGGAACAATCCAATTATGGGTAATGGATTGTAGCCATTATAAATTGGTTACCATGTGAGCACAAAAACACCCAAATAAACCTTTATTAGAATAATTATGGTAACACAATGTATGAAGTGGTTTTAATGCATTTTCCTGGACTAGCAACATATTCTTTCAGTGGGGACCAAACAAGCACACTTCAACGATGTATATTTCACCCATCCTAGGGCTCTCCAGGCCACCCAGGACAGCCAGGCCCTCCCGGACCACCTGGTGCCCCTGGTCCTTGCTGTGGTGGTGGTGCTGCTGCCATCGCTGGGGTTGGAGGCGAAAAATCTGGTGGTTTTTCCCCATATTATGGAGATGAACCGATGGACTTCAAAATCAACACTGAAGAAATTATGAGTTCACTCAAATCTGTTAATGGACAAATAGAAAGAATCATTAGTCCTGATGGTTCTCGTAAAAACCCTGCTCGGAACTGCAGAGACCTGAAATTCTGCCATCCTGAACTCAAGAGTGGTATGTTTCAGAGTCTTTTACACTCATGACGACAGAATTATAGAGAAAGCTGCCTAGAGTAGAATTGGAGAAAGAGAAAACTGTCACTGTGAATGTAAAATATCTTGTAGCTGAAATAGTAAAGGATGTTAATTGAATTGAAACTGATTGATATTGTAAAAGAATAAACTTTGCAGATGTACCTATAACAATTTACTTCAAAAGATTCCAAATATATGAAAATTTAAAGACAATTTGTAGAAGTTTTAATACAAATTATAGTTTGGCATGTTTCTGAATGTCATCACAAAGTTATTTCAGTGATCAAGAGACATAAAATTTCAGTCTCAGGATTTAATATTAAACAATTGTAATTTGATTGTTGTAATATTTATTTATTGCAATTTAATTTGTTGTAATAAATATAATCATTAAAATTTTCAAACTAAGAAACAGATGAAAGTTGCAGAATATTGTATAAAATTTAATAGGATAGTGTAATAATTTTAGGTTTTGCATATATTGGGTTAATTCTTCCTGAAAAGTAAAATTATCTGAAGCTTTCAAATATCTTGACATGGAACATTGCCTTTGCTCAGAGTCATTTCTAGAAATTATTTAAAATAGGAGAAAAGCATCAATCATGGGGATTTTAGGTTATATCTGTTGGCATAAATCTGGATTAGACAACCAGCTTACATTATTAAGCAAGATTACATTAAATCATTAGTCATCTTTTTTATGATATACCCATAATAATGACAAATTTTTAAAAAGAGGAAAAAAGAGAGATTTTAGAACATGTACACCGATCAAAAAATTTCAGCTTAGTTTCTCTCTATTCAAAAACCAAGATGTTATAGTTTATTTCAGCGCTCTCTATAGTTATAGCTAACTCATTTACCTCAGAAGTTTTAATCTAACAGTTTTTCTATCATGCTATACATAAAATATCAATACATAAATTACAAATATTTTAGCCATCAACATTATGAATGCCTTGCCATGTAAACAAACAAAATCATTCTGATCCAAATGTTATTACTAGATTTCACAACCAATTCCCCTTTCTTCTTTTTTGTGACTATCCAGGAGAATATTGGGTTGATCCTAACCAAGGTTGTAAATTGGATGCTATCAAGGTATTCTGTAACATGGAAACTGGGGAAACGTGCATAAGTGCCAATCCTTCCAATGTTCCACGTAAGAACTGGTGGACCGATTCTGGTGCTGACAAGAAACACGTTTGGTTTGGAGAGTCCATGAATGGTGGTTTTCAGGTAAAAAAGGGTGTATCTTTTAAAAAATGTCATTTTTACTTACCTAACATTTTTGTTCCTCCTCTCTGTTCATCACAAAGCAAAGTAATAAATAGAAGAGCCCAAGTGATTTTACAAGTGGCTGTATTTTCATGACTTTCCTGTCAATAAGAGTTCAGCGAGATTAAATTTTTCTTTGCATGCAGACATCTTTCTTTCACTTCTTAAGAACTTTTTCCCCTGGCATGCAATAAAAATATATTCACAAATAAAATAGTCATACATAAAATATATAAGCAGCCTATATAACAATGCCCATGCTAATACTACGTAAGTTCCTTACAAGCAGTTGCAACTAAAATTTTGGTCAATTTTATTTGTTCCCTATTATAGTTTAGCTATGGCAATCCTGAACTGCCTGAAGATGTCCTTGATGTACAGCTGGCCTTCCTCCGACTTCTCTCCAGCCGGGCCTCTCAGAACATCACATATTACTGCAAGAATAGCATTGCCTACATGGATCATGACACTGGGAATGTAAAGAAAGCCCTGAGGCTGATGGGATCAAATGAAGGCGAATTCAAGGCTGAAGGAAATAGCAAATTCACTTACACAGTTCTGGAGGACGGTTGCACTGTAAGGGACAACATTCTTATAAATATAAGTCATAATGCACTCAGTATTTCTAGTTTAATCGTGCTAACTAGTTTGAAAATAATAGGGTGAACAAAAGATGGCATTTGCTGTGAATTATATACATTACATCTACTGATTCATTGTGGGGAATGTTACATGCTACGAAAAGCAAATAGATAGATGTTAACCTACAAATGAAAATCAGTTGAAATGAAAGCAATGGAAATTTAAATCCACAGTATAAACTTTATTCAATAATCAGATGGTTACTAAATGTTTTGCATATCTATTATATGAATCAATTTAAAATCTCTGCTTTTTTATTTTAAAAGTTAACTTCAAATATATTCTTTGTTATTATCATTTATGAACAAAAGGAGAACTCACTTCTAATATTAGCAAAGTTCATTGTGAGTGACCTATCCACTTTTTAGCAAACCGATTATATATGTATTAGCAATGACCAGAGCCAGGCCTCCTGAGGATGATCTGGCCTTTGGTGATCTTCTTGAGACGCTTACTCTGAAGCCCTACAAGACTTTTCATTAAGAATATTGTTTATCAACTAATAGGATTACAGCTTTGAAGTGGAGCAGGTCTCATATATATGGAAAATGACATGGCACACTGACAATTCCATTAGAGCAAAAATAAAATTTAACTCAATCAGTCAAATGAATCATCTAAGTAATTGTAATATGATCACTTACTATGTTTTTTTTTCTCTCTCTTTTATACAGAAACACACTGGGGAATGGAGCAAAACAGTCTTTGAATATCGAACACGCAAGGCTGTGAGACTACCTATTGTAGATATTGCACCCTATGACATTGGTGGTCCCAATCAAGAATTTGGTGCGGACGTTGGCCCTGTTTGCTTTTTATAAACCAAACTCTATCTGAAATCCCAGCAAAAAGTTTCATTCCATATGTGTTCCTCTTGTTCTAATCTTGTCAACCAGTACAAGTGACCAACTAAATTCCAGTTATTTATTTCCAAAACATTTGGAAAAAGAATAATTTGACCAAAAAAAAGGATACTTTTTTGTTTTTGCTGTTCCATCAAATACAGTTCAAATGCTTTTCGTTTTATTTTTTTACCAATTCCAATTTCAAAATGTCTCAATGGTGCTATAATAAATAAACTTCAACACTCTTCCAATAACACTGTGTTACATTCTTTGAATCCTAGCCTATCAGCAAAGCAATGACTACGCTCACCAGTAAAAGAAAACCTTTCTGAAATAGCCAAACATGAAATTAGAAAAGACCTCCCTATTTCAACTACCTCAACTGGTCAGAAACAGATGAATTCTGAGTCCCAGAAGACCAAAAAAATTGTATAAGTGAACAAAATTTGTGAATTTCATTGAATAATTTCCTAGGATATTGGCTCAAGAGAAAATAGAGTTTAGTGCAAAAATTTGAAGAAATATTTTTAATGCCACAAATTAATTTAATCTTGGGTATCAACTTCTTTTTAAGGTGCTTCTCTTTTTTCTTGTCTTTGCTGGTCAAGATTACTAATATTTGGGAAAGCTTTAAAGACACATGTTATGGTGCTAATGTACTTTCACTTTTAAAACTCTAAATCAGCATTGTTGACTTTTATTCAAAACAAAAATGCACAGCATCTGTACACGTCTCCTGTCAGAAAGATTAATTGGCAGGCCTCAGGGGACTCTCCCTATATCCTGTAAAAGTCAACAACAACAACAAAATTATGAGGCTGCTTTTGTCACAATAACACAGAATGTGTTGAAATTTAACTCTGTAAGCTTGTATGTGGTTGTTGATCTTTTTTTTTTTCCTTAGAGACTCCCATAATAAAATATCATATTAAAACATTCCTGGTTTTTGTCACTTGTCATAGATTTCACAAACGTACGTCCACACTTAGGAACTCTAGTAATTTTCTTGAAAAAGTGTATTGAATTCTAACTCTCTAGATTAATAATACAGTGACTTTTAGGAATATGTTTAAAATACAGATAATCCTCTGTGTGGAATCCAGAAGATTTTTAGATCATGTTTAGTGGAACCTCAGAGGCATATTTCAATGCATTCGTATTTCTGAGGGCATTCTGTTTGAAATGGTCAATCCCTGGAAATGGTAACATAGTAAATTAAGGTGTCCTAAAATGGGAGTAATCAGGAAGGAAGATGTTGATAATTTATCAGCAAGTAAGATGGATCTGGTGAAACACGTTAACATCAAGAATAATTGACAGGTACCACATGATCTCACTTATATGTGGAATCTACAAAAGGTGAACTCACAGAAGTAGGTATAAAGGCAGTTACCAAGGGCTGGGGGTGGGATGGGATTGGGGAAATGTTGGACAAAGGATATGGAATTTCAGTTCGGAGGAATAAGTTCAAGGAATAAGTAAATCATGGTAAATGTAGTCCATAACAATATATTCTCCAAAATTGCTAAGAGAGTAGATTTTGAGTGTTCACACCACAAAAAATAAGTATTTGAGTACGTGTGTGTATATATACATATATAGAGAGAGAGAGAGAGAAAAAGAGAAAGAGAAAGAGTGACACCAATAGTATGAATTAACAAATTAGACTACCTAGAGTTTTATTTTAGATAAAAAGAAGCATATAAAAAACAATGTTCTACCTCTTATATTTTTAACTTAATATATCATGGAAAGTGGTTCATTTCACTATATGTAGCTTTAACTCATTATATGTTATTAATGCCTGAAATTCAGTTTAATGAATAAACTAGAGTTAAAATTCTTATTTGATTATTTGTTTGTTTATTTGCAACCAAGCATTTAGAGTCCTATCTTACTACAGTCCAATGAGTCTTGGTTGAGGTTAGACGCTACACAGGAACCTACTTTCCCAGATTTCTTTGAGTTAGAGTTCAGGCATGTGACCATGTAACCTGAGCTTGGCAAATCCAGAGACACACACCTGAAATTCCAATCTGGAGATGATTGCATTCCTTTCATATTACTGCTGTAGCAAATTTCCAGAAATGTAGTGACTTAAAACAACACAAATTTGTTGTCTTACATTCTGAAGGTCAAAATTCTAAACTGAGTCTTACTGAATTAAAATCAAAGTGTTAGCAAGGCTGTGTTCAGTTCTAGAGACACTAGGAGAAAACATGTTCTTTCCTTTTTTCAGCTTCTAGAGGCTTCCCAGCTTCCTTGGTTCATGAGCTACTTCCATCTTTAGAGCCAGCAATGTTTCCTCAAGTCTGTCTCATAGTGCATCATTCGGACATTGGTTCTTCTGCCTTCTTCTTTCATTTATAAGGAACCTATGATTATGTTGGGCTGAGCTCAATAAACCAAAATAATCTTCCCATTTGAAGGTCAGTTCATAAGAAACCTTAATTCCATCAGCAACTTTAATTTCCCCCTGCCTAACCATGTAATATAACATATTTAAAGATTCCAAGGATTAGGATGTGAACATATTTGAAGGAGCATTATTATACCTACCATAATTGTGATGCAAAAAAGTAGAGAGAATTTAAAAATCCATTTTGGTAGTGATCACAGCTGCAGTAAGGGCAGCAATAGCTGGATTTCAAAAGAAGCATGGCTATTAGTGGTATAGATAGCATCTAGTATCCAGTGTTTATGATGGCTTCACCAGGTGGCTTTTGGGGTATGCTTTTGAAGATGGCTCTGAATGTCAGCATTCACTTTATCTGTTCATTTTATGAACCTGGATTCTATAGCTTTCTCTGAATTCTCCTGAACTTTAGTTAAAATATATAAATTACATTTCTACTACAGTCAGCCAAAGTTGGTTTAGATTGTTGCAACTGAGAAAGCTGACTAGGCCAGTAATTCGGGACAGTGTGGCTGGCAGGCAGCAAAAATGTAGAAAAATGAAAAGACAATGGGATAAAATGTTTGTATTTAGGGGTAAAAGTAGGAAAACTCAGTTCATATTCAGGAATGAGAACTTAGAAGAAGTTCATGGAAATAGCATTAATCATCTATGGTCACATGGAGTGAACTGTACTTTAAAGTCAAAGATTAAGAAGATAAGTAGCCTCTACTACACAACAATATGTTTGAATTCCATGAGAACTCACAGGACTGCATGAGAAAGTGGCTGATGATGCACAGCAAAGATAACAATGAATTAACAATTGTCTCAAGACACAGAAGGAAATCTATGCTTTTTCCTCTGACTCTGTTAAAATAAAAACACAAATATCTTTCTTAAAAAATGTAAAACATATCCCTTTGCCAAAGTATAACAGAGGCAAAGGCCTTTAAAAAACCAAAATGTTTTATGAGCTGTTTAAGGCCCTCTCACTGTTTTGGGGAATTAAAACCTGCACCTCTGCACCCCTGCACCCCAAGGCCAGTAATCAGAGATGCAGGTGAGTGTCCTTTATTCTCTGAACAACAGGAGATAGCTCAACGGAATTGTCCAGGCAGAGGTCCCAAGAGTGTCTTCACCAGAGATGCTATAGTTAAACAGAAATAGCCTGAAGCTGAAAACTCCCTTTAAAAGCCCTCATTTTCTGCTTATAAAGAGGACAATGGTACTTTAAGATGAGAATCTGCCATTCTCCTCATTTGCCAGCAAATTAATAAACTTCCCTTTCCTACTCCTCAAACCGCTTGTTCTTGTTCTTCATTCAGCTGGGGATAAGTGCCGAACTTTCAGTTGCAAAAGATTTCAGATAACCAAAAAACAAATATAAATCTTAATTCTATAGATCACCAAACTTCAACATAAATCTAAATTGATTTTTCAATTCTCTATTTGATTGCTGTATAATTGGGAAATAGTAGGACCCTGGAAATCTGAATGGGGTTTATGGAAGAATTCTATTTCAATGTTCCTGTTTCACATTAAGTTTCTCTAGCCATCTAAAATAAGATCCCCATTTCCTGCATAGTAATATTTCCACTCTCCTTAAAATGCAAGATGCCTGCAAGAAAAGTCAATCCTCAGAGAATTGTCCCACCGGCACTTATTGTCTCTGGATAAATAACTAGAGTTGATCACAAAATGCTTCAGAGATAGCAATTAAAAGATCAGTCTCAGGAGGAGGCTTACACACACAAAAAAAGAGAATTAACTTATTAATTAATTTAATAAATTAAATAAATTTAATTTATTTACATTGACTAAAATCTGGACAATGTGTGTGAGAGTGGGAATACAGAAGAAGAATGCAATTTGGACAAAAATTTATCAATTTATGAATGTAACAGAGAGTTTTAGGAATATTATAATTATTAACATGATTGGTTGAACTGAACCTAGGCCTCAGAGGTTGCCCAAACCAAATAAATTTGAGACATCATGAACTTTTTGGCAAGTGGAGAATGTAATTCAAAAACCTAAGATGATAGGAATGTTGGAATGGATTTATCACATGTGACACAGCCACTCACCTTCGACTATATTCTCAAGGTGAACCACTAAGGTCTTAGAAATACATGGTGAGATGCATGCCAGGACCTTTGAAACCCCCTTTAAGTGTGTCTGAAGTCTGGAGATGAAGATAGAAAAAACCTAGCCAAAATAAGTTTCTTGATTTTAATGGAGATGATAGGATCCCAGTTAACAGATAACAAAGGGCAGCTCCTGACTACCACAACAAAGTGAAATGATAACTGTAAGAGACAATAGGACTGGCATGATACAAAAAAAAAAAAATAATGTAACTCAGAAGTAACTTAGGTGGTAGCTAACTGATAATGGAACCCCTAGATACATCCAATTAGGTCAGCTGGCTCTCTGGGAGAATCACATTTAGTTTTTTATATTAAAAATAATAACAAAAAAAATCCGTTTCAGGTGAAAGACACTTTATATGAATAAACACACAAATCTTAAGACTTTTACCCAATCCTCAGACTATAAGATAGTTCATAGACCCAGTGTTCTTGAATGAAGCAGAATTCGAAGCTTTTGGTGAAGTCCCAGTACAATAGCACCCCAACCAATGATCACTTAACAAAGGCCAAACATGGTTCTAGTCACTTAAAACTTATGAATTAATATATTACTCACTTCAATCCTATGAGGCACCATTATCTTCACTTTAAGAAAGAAAGAAAGAAAGAAAGAAAGAAAGAAAGAAAGAAAGAAAGAAAGAAAGAAAGAAAGAAAGAAAGAGAAAGAGAGAGAGAGAGAGAGAAAGAGAGAGAGAGAGAGAGAAAGAAAGAAAGAAAGAAAGAAAGAAAGAAAGAAAGAAAGAAAGAAAGAAAGAAAGAAAGAAAGAAAAGGAAATAAAGTATAAGAGATTAGATAAATTGCCCCAGGTCTCTTAGTCAGTAAGAGGAAGAGCTTAGATTTTTACTCAAACAATTTGGTTTTAGAGTTAATACTCTAAGCCATGACACTAAACTGTCTAAAATATTTACTCTGTACTGTTTCTCCAAAAGAAACCTGAGTTACCATTTCAGTGGTACACTGGGGAAAGGAAAACCACATCTTTGGAGGAATTATCAAAGAGTAATTATAAATTATCACCAATTCCCATGGATTAATAATGCCACTCTAAACTTGAGTAGGAATTTTGATTACTCACTTCCAGGATGAGCATAGCTAATTCAGGTACCATAATTCATGTAAGTATACATTTATTTAACAAGTCATTTAGTTGTAAGATGTTTACCAATGTGAAGCAAGCACTAATATACTATCTTATTTTAGTGAATTTCCTCCCGTTGGTAGGCCATTCCTTCTCTATTTTAATTATCTTCCTCTACCTAGTCATTAGAGTACTGTTAGTCCCTCTAATATCTCTCCTTAACAATCTTATCTATCTATAACTCTTGCCATCAAGGAAGCTGAAGATAAATCACACATTTACATCTGATTTTGTGAAACCAAAG